AGTCTCTCCAGGCCCGGTGGACAAGGGGGTTAGGCAGTCCCAAGCCTGTAATGCACATAAGCGAATTTGCTCAAAACAGCCAGCGGGAATTGCAGCCTGCTGGATTCCTGTGGAGAAGTTTCCCTGACCAAAAAGCTGGTCATAGTTCCAATCTATGAATCCAGGTGGTGGATCCTGTCCTTGTTGGGGTCTTAGCTGTTGATTATGAGAGTCATTTCTTTTAGCCTGAATTAGACACTCATCTCTAAATAAGGCCTCCCATTGTACAAATAATGGACTGGGGAGGGTAGATCTACAGATATCCCTCCAGTCCTGGGGGGGTAAGCAGATTAGTATTAAATGTTTGTAGTATAGATTTTGTCAATGGAGCATGAATTCCATCCTCACAGACAGCCTGGCACAATTCTTTAAGTTCTGCTGCTGGGAGCAGCTACCAGGCTAGTGGGCGTTGCCTTGTTATTTGTAAGTTAACAGGAAAAGCCTCTACCAGTGGGATTTGGGGGTCCTGAGACCACTGAGGCTGGCAACTTCCACTATCTCTAAGATTACACAGTTGCTCTGTGGCAGTAGGGCATGGCTGGAATGGCGCCACAGGTGGTTGATGTGGAGGTAGCTGAGATGAAGGGGGAGGGGAATTTATCTGAGGATTTTTGGGAGCTTTTGAAGTCTGAGCATTAATATCTGGGCTTGTTAAATCAGCAAGAGCGGGGTAAAGATTAATTTTGCTGATGAGTAGGTTTTGTCTGACTTCTGTTGAATCTGCTACTGGGCATTTTTAGGGTCTTTTTTATCATTTGAACCTTCCCCTTTATTATTTCCTGAAGCTTGTCCTAAGCATTGTTGGATGGCTGCTATTATGGGGAAAAAGGAAAGAGGGAAATTATGCTTTTCCTGGATTTCTTTTTTACGAGCCAGATATGTAACGTTAGTCCAGACCTCTGGATCAGAAATGTCTGCTGATAGGATCCAGGGTGCAAATTGATATAACTTGTTCCAAAATTTTGAGCTTTCTTTTTTGGAAATCTTAAGTCCTCTAGATTCAAGCAGGGTTTGAAGGGAACGAATTTGGAGTTTTTTCTGGCATGATTGTTGAATTTCCCATTATAAGGGAAGCGTCTAATGTTCTGCAGCAGCCTGACACTACTCCGACAGGCAGGAGCCTTAGGCTGCAGAAAAAAGGTGGCGGTTTTAAATCTTTTGTTCTGGCCGCGAACCACCTTGAACTCCCAGGTGCTCAGCAGGGGCTAATTAATTTAAATTTTCACTTAACTGGTTTTAGCTGTGGCTTGAGTGCCTGGAGGCAGGATGACAAAAGTGATTAGGGAAGTTTACCTTAGAAACTGACTCCAAGGCTTACGTGAAGAGAAGATTACTTAGAACTTTTGGGACTTTTTTAGCAGTGTTAGGATAGGAAAGTAGTGAAGTGATGGTTTCCAAGGGACCGTGCCTGAAATTAAAATCTCAGGGGATTCCACTTGGCTCCCAGCACAGGCCTTCCCGCAAATTTAAGAGAGACTGGCAGCCATCCTAATGACTCTTATGTGGCTGCTGCATCACCAGATTTTTATATTAGAAAGATATATAGATAGAGGTCTTTTGTCTACACCTGTACAGGCGGTCGGAGGTTGTTAGGGGGCAGAGGGGCCTTTGGCTAACGTCAGGGAGTGGCCCTGACCAGAAAACCTCAGTTGCTCCTCTGTCTTTACCGTCCTCACGTGAAGACTTTAGACCGGAAACAAAAGGAGGAAATTAGAAGAGATTTGTGTTGCCCTCCTGGTGGGGAGAGATACTCACGAATCCTGCGTTTCACAGGGCACCAGCTGCTAGCTGGCACGAGGTTCAGAGGCTCTCACGTTGGGCACCAGGCATGGCGGCGCAGGGATCTCGGAGCGCCAGCTGCTGGGCGTGGCGCCAGTCTGCTGCACGCACCTGGGGTGCGGCGGGTCCCACACTGCGTCTGCTGTTTGGTCCCTGGCTCTCTGCCGCTGGCGGGTCCCTGCTTCTCCACGTTGTTGAGGCTCTCTGCTACCGGGGCTGGCCCGGTCGGGTTCCGTCCCAATCCACCGTTTACGAAGAGACAGCTCTCTCTGGGAAGGCTGGATCGTAGGCAGTAAGACACAGAACTCAGCTCAGTCAGTGGTACAGCCCCTTTATTCTGTGACTCAGCTCGGCTCCAGGCCTTAGTGATCCAGCTTCGATTATTGAGGGAAAACCAGGATACTTTATACTGTGGGGGTAGTGGTAAAAGCCTTAGCTGATAGGTACTTTGTGGGATGCCCTATTTACATGTAGAGGTGGGCTCCTGCCAGGCTGTCAGACTGCCTGAAAATCACACAGGAAAACCTGGCAGTTTCAGAGCCGGAGGCCATGTTTCTGTGACGGCTACTTCAAAGATGAGTCAGGAAGGTGCTGGGAAGGCACCCTGCTGATAAAAGGAGTCTCTGCATATGAAGCCGAGCCCATAGGCTATCCGGACATGGAGAGACTGCTACTTTACACAACAGGAGTCCCCAACACCTGCCTTGCCGCCCAAGTGCTAGGATTAAAGGCATGCTGTTTTTCTGTTCTTATTTCCATTTTTTAAAACCTGGGTTCCTCCCAGAAACTGCGATTCCTTTGTCAATGACAAGTGACTGGGAGACTTATGGGTGGCAGTGTTGAGGCTGAGTGGCTATCACAATGGGTCCTTCCAGGCCAGCACAAATGCAGTGAGAATGGTCCTTCAGGTGCCACTAATCAGAACTCCTTCCCACACAGTGAAGGGTTAGGTAGTTATGTCCAGATGCTACACATCCAACCTCTCTACTCCACCCACAGCTGTCCCCACAGAAGCCTATTTCTCAAAGCTGACAGTTGGCTCCTCTGGGCAGCATCCTATGAAAGATGTTTAGTGCTCACATAGCATCTTTTGTTTGCTCAGTCCTGTCCTGTGCCAAGTGTTCCCACCTAGTTTTTCTCTGAGGAGATAGGATATCTGCCTGGTAGAGAGATCACGGTCCTGGTGGGACAGGGGACCAAGCACAGACACAACAGAAACACATTTGTTCTGTCAGCTGGCTGATCTGGCCCAGGTGAAAGTACTATCTCCACAGTTCTCCTGAGCGGGACTAAGTCTTCTTCGAGTATAAGGATTATGAATGGTGCTGGTGAATATCCTTATGTCCCAAAATAATAGTTGCCCACAACTATGCCTGCCTCTTCCAGGTGTGTTCTCTGCACATTATCTGTCCCAAAAGATCCTCAGTCTGAGTTCAGACCAATGACATACACTGACACGCTGACAATCTAAGCCATTTCTTCACTTCTGTACTTGTTTCCCCATTTGAAACTATAGACTGTTGTGCAGACACAGAATTTGTAAAACTCTTTGGAGCCAGGTGTGGTGGTGCATACCTGTAACCTAAGTGCTCAGGAGGCAGAAGCAGAAAGACTAGCTGCAAGTTGGAGACTAGCATAATCTACATAGTAAGTTTCAGGCCAGCTAGGCCTTCCCAGGAGGTATTTTTAAAGCACTTAGAACACAGCAACTGGCACACAGCTAGTGATCAATAAACACTCAGAACAGCATCCATAACATATGATACCGATCTTCAATAAGCACACAGAACAAAGACCTATATAACTGTTGTTTAATAAGTACATAGGATAGGAAGGGGGAAAAAAGCCACATTGCTGAGCAAGGAATAGATTCAAGCTTTATATAACACACACAGTGAAGGTATAGGGCCTCAATAAGAAAATACACTCTGTGTTCAGGTTAACCCCCATCATCAGCCATTAAGAACACTCTAGGGTGAGGAAAAGAGGGAAGGGGACACTTAAATAAGACTAGGAGGTAAGTCAATACTGTACAGGCACACACAGGTGGAACACACTGCAAGGGGCACAGGGCCTCTTCTTTCTGAGAGTAATGCAGTGGTACAAGATAATGGTAGCCACGGACTAAAGCCTGCAATGCCTAGGGGGCAATGAACACAGGTAAGAGAGGGGGTGAACATGAGGAGGTGGCAGAGTGGGCTTCCTTCCCTGTGGTAGGTCCTAGGGCCCCTTAGTTAACGTCCATGATCTCAGGGTTGGATGTGGAACCGGAGGCAGGAGGAGCTGGCGAATCAGAGGAAGCAGTCTGGGACTGGCGGCGTCCCACATCTTGACGCTGGTAGAACAGAACATAGGCTGCCTTGGACTGTAGGGAGAGGACATGGGTCAGTTTGGATGTCAGGAGGGGATAATAGACAGGAAAAGGGGAGAATTTGGGGGACAGAAGCTGTACCTGAATCTGGTTCTCATTCACAGGTGAGACATTATTGTCATCAAAGTAGTGCCACTGGCCACTGTCCTTGTTGCAGGCAAATGTTGTGTCTAAAAGGAACAGAAAACCTCCTTACCCATGTTCTTGGCTTTCTGGGGATATCCACCATCTCCTTTTTCACTCCTCCTGACCTGATAATCTTGACTCTCGCCCACATGCCTAGTCACCCACTGGGGACATCCTGACCCTTAGCCTAGACCCCTCCCCCCCCAGGGCATGCCCCAGTCCACATACAGTGTCCATCACGCATGCCCCCATAATGGTTGGAAACTGCTATGAGATCATATTTATATAGGTCTGGAGTTGACTTGTTCTGTGGTTTGATGACAAATTCAGAAAAGTCCAGATCCCTGTGGGTAAAAAGACAGTTAATACTGGTGGGTTCTACCGTCCCTTCCCATTTCCTACAGCCCTTCTCTCTTTCAAGGCCCCTGACCGGAGAGGAAACTGCACCAGGGTATCCAGCTTCTCTCGAGAAAATTTGGAGAACGAAAAGCGCTTCAGGTGGATGATGAGAACCTCAGGCAGCATCCACAGGTCCAGCTTCTTAGTGGCCAGTTGGTGCTGCTTACAGGAGGAGCAGAACCTATAGACAGAACCCAGGTCAGGAAGGGCTATCCTGAGCACCTGCCTCATGCCTTGGGCATTGTGCTATCTTTGCATGCACCAGGCTTGCCTCAAACTCACAATACTCCTGCCTCAGTTTCCCCAGGGCAGTGAATGGCTGTTTTACTTTTTTGAGAAAGGATCTCACTACATAGCCCAAATGGCTTCAAACTTTGGCTCTTCCTGTCTCTGCCTACCAAGTGCGAAGACTGCAGGCATGCATCACTTGTTTTCATTTTGTAAAGGATGCTCTGACTTTCAGACTGCCTGGTACTTCATTTGTTCTTGTTTGTAAGTACTTCTGTTATGCAAAGGGTCTGAGATAGGCCGATGTGGAGGGTGATGGTAGCCAGCATGGTAGGAAGGGTCTGACCATGGGGAGAGTGGAAAATATACTTGGAAAGGTAGCAGGTGCCTGGGTAAGAGCCACCTGGTGAAGTCTCCCTTGGCCATGCTGGGCTCTCACCAGGGGTTCTCCTTCTCTAGGGTTTCCACAGTGGTGAAGAGTTTGATGCACTCTTGTAGCTGCACTGGAGTTTTCTTTAGCATGTAACCCACGCAGTCATGTTTCACATAACCCTAGGGAAAAGGAGTCAGTGTCCAGAGAGTCAGGTATGAGGAAGGTGTAGAAATATAGGGCACAGTGTAGAATCACGGACCAAGCAGGACAGAACCTGAGGCCTTGGTGCTCCCAATCATTGTGTAGGTGCCAAGGCCAGGCTGGTCCTGGACCTGGATCTCTTGGCTCTGTTCCCAGGTGGAGTTAGGTGGAGGATGTATAAAGGGTTGAGGTGTAAGCTGCATGTGCTTCCCATTCCCTAGAGCCCCATTTCCATTTACCTCAGCCTCTACTTCATCATAGTAGCGCCTCTTCATCTCTGGCTCCCAATCCATGGCAATATATGGCTGGGCTGGGGGTGCAGAGGAGGTGGTCATAGCTACTATTGCTGGGAAATTATTCCCCCTACTACCGACTACCCCAACCGAGCTTGCAGCCAAATGACATACTATGTACTTCTTCAGGAGAAGTTCGGTCGCTGGTCCCATTGGAGTTCACTGTCTGCAGGGTGAACAGTTGCTTATGCCGTCGCCTTGGGGGCCACTGAGATGTATGAAGGCTGTTGTCTAAGAGGAATGGGCATCTCCTAGATACACCAGAACTGGGCCCAGCCTGCTCCTGCTCTAACTCTTGGAGGCTGCCACTTGTGGAAGGCCCAGGAATTTCCTCTTTCTCCTCCTCATCACTGCTGCCATCTTCTTCATTGTCATCATCATCTTCCTCATCTCCTAGGATGAGGAGGATGTTAGGGATAGAAACATGTGAACTGCAGAGAACAGAGCTTCAACACACATTCAGAGGAACCCTGTGTAGATCACACCTATCCCCAACACCCTCCACTGTCCTTCAGCCCCACACCCTTCCTAAGACCATGGTACACAGGTAGATCCTCAACCTTGCTGACCCTGTCTCCCTTCTTACCATCCCCCCTTACCTTTCTCATCCCCATCTTCCTCCTCATCTGAGGTAGGTTTGGTCACATAGCGTCTGCAACAGAGCAGAGGAGAGTTTCAAGGCAGGGGCCCAAAGACAGTAGTGGTAGCTCCCAAGATTTTACTTTGGTACATGTGGGGAATTCACCAGACCAAGTTAAACAGGTATCTTTCTCTTTCTCTTTTGTAGGCCTTGAGAATGCTATGCTAAAGCTATATCCCCAGCCCTTTTCTGAAAACTTCTTACTTTGAGACAGTTTTAATAAGTTACCCAGACTGTCCTGGAACTTGCTATAGCTATATACCCCCAAATGGCCCTATGATTCAGCCACAGCTGCTCAAGAAGCTGAGATTATAGGCATGCCCCATCACACCTGGCTACATATAAGCTGTTCTTAATCACAGACATGGAAGGTGGTGAAGCAGTGAAATAAGTCCATGAAGAAGTTATGGATGTCAGCAGTGGCCTGAATATAGGTTTTCATGTGCTTTTGGTAGATATACATAAGCCACTGGTAAATATACATACAGTCAGTTGTGAATCTACCTCAGAGAAGCCTTAGAGGGGTTGACTTTTGGGTATAGAATGGAGGAGCAATTAATCCAGATAATGTGTTACTTTGCTTGGCTGCAATGGTTAAAGTCTCTGGATTTTAAGTACAATGAAAAACTACTAGTAACAAAACACACCCAAGTCTCCCTGAGGAGACAATTAAATACAAAATGTAGTTGTCTCTACCTTGTCTTGTTCACCTCTGCATTCCTGGTATCAAAGAGAGAAACTACAGAAGCCACGGGTCTAGATAAAGAAAAAATTCCTACAAGTTCTTCTATGGCCATGTTAAATTTGATCTTTCCTTTGGATGTACTGAACACCAGATCTGAGTATAGACTCCACCTCCCCAACCCTGGGAATGAGGTACTTACGAGAGCCGGTACATCAGGATGTTATACAGGCCCTCCCAGGAGAACCGGTCCCGGGGCACTGATACCAGGAGAGGGTGCCCAAAAAGTATCAGACCATAGTAGGAGTTGTTGTAGTCTCGGGATGGGGTACGTTCCCGCAGGTATACAGGAACTACAATGTCATCTCTTGAACCTTCAATGGGCTCAATCCGACCAGTCACTTCATATCTGTGAGGGGGTGATATTAGGTTACTCTTGATAAAGGCGTCCACACAAGATTCCCTGACTTTGCCCTAGTTGCTCCATCCATTTGCCTCTCAGCCCTAAAATATATATATTTTGTGTGTGTGTGTATGTATACACATGCCATGGCACACATGTGGAGGTCAGAGGACAACTTTCAGGAGTCAGTGAGTCTCCTTCCACTGTGAGATCAGGGAATCAAGCTCAGGTCATCAGGCTTGCACAAGCAGTTTTACCTACTGAGTGATCTTGCTAGCCCCTCCAAAATATTGTTTGAAGGGCCTAAAAAGTCATGAAATGTTTCCATAGCACTGTTTACATGCTGCTTTAGGAAGAGCTTTGGTAACATCAGAATGCTGAGGGGGTTAGTAAAAACATTTAGTAACAGAGGGCTTAAACCATTTGTCCTGTGTAAGCACTGTTCATTTATTTAAAAAAAAAACTGCAATCACAAAACACTATTTAGTTTTTAGTTGCCCAAATTTTAAAAATTGTTCTGGGAAGCAGGGCATAGTTCAATGGTAGAACCTAGCATGCATGAAACTTGAGTTCTAACTCCAGCCACTCCAAGTAAATAAATATAAATAAATTTTAAAAGGAATATATTGCTAGGCATGGTGGCACATGCCTTTAATTCCTGCAGAGGCAGGCAGACATCTGTAAGTTTGGGGATAGCTTGGTCTACATATGGAGTTCCAGGTCAGCCAGGGTTACATAGTGAGACCCTGTTTCAAAAAATAGAATAAAATAAAAGGAGTATGTTTTAGACTGCAAATGTAGCTCAGTGTTTGAACACTTGGCTAACATACTCTTGAGCTTCGGGCTCTAAGGTAAAGCAAAAAAAAAAAAAAAAAAAAAAAGAATATTTTTTTAAATTAAAAATGAACTCAGGTTTTTAACACTTGGTTAAAATACTCTTGAGTGTCGGGCCCAAAGGGAAAAAAAAAAAAAAAGAATATTTTTTTAAATTAAAAATGAACTCAGGTTTTTAACACTTGGTTAAAATACTCTTGAGTGTCGGGCCCAAAGGGAAAAAAAAAAAAAAAAAAAAAAAAAAAAAGGAACCTTCCTGTGGAACAACTATTCATTCCTCTGGGTCTCCTTACATGAAGATATCATCACGATCCAAGATGCCGCTCAGAGGATCCTCCAGCTGGTAGAGCTTATAGAATCGGTGACTGAAGACATCAGCCACTATCATCTAGGAATAGGACAGGTGTATGGAGAGTAGTCAGACTTCAAGGTCTACTTAGGCCCTTCTTCCTCCAAAGCTTACCCACCCAACCTCCCTCTGCAATATCTCACCTTGTCTGGTGCGACACTTGTGTGTGTAGACAGAGCCACACACAGATCTGAGATATTGCCTTTCTTGGGGACCACAACCCGGTGCTGAAGGAGAAAGAGCATTCACAAAATATCATGGTATGGTTAAGTTAATACAGAAAACTTTCAAGTATGGCAAAGTAATCAAACTCTGACTGCATGTCTCTCACTGTGTTCCTGCCTGTCCCTACCTGCTCTGGCTTGCGGCGGGGATCCATAGGGACAAAGAAGACCTCCAAGACCCTCCTAGGGCAGACAGGCAGTGGGACGCTGAGGTAGCAGAAGGGGTCAAACGTCACAGACACATTGCCACAATCAGGGCACACCAGCGTGGACTTGAAGAGGCCATGGAAAGTGTCCACAATCACAGAATCATTCCGCCGTTTGTGGTTCTGCCAGGCCTCTTGAGCTACCTCCTGTTGACAAGTGTTATGGTGATGAGAGGTTTGCCAAGACAAGGGGAAAAGGTTTAGGGATGGATTCATATGGTTCTGGGTAAGGACTCTGTTAGTCTATTGGTAATGTGCCAGGTAGGGCTATCTGGAACCCATGTTCACTGTCGGGGCTGGGATTTATGTGGAACATGAGCCTGGTTGGGATTAATTCTGGTAGGTGTAGGAACAAATATGGTACTACCACTGAGACTAGAACTAAAACCAGGATAGGAGAACTTAGAAAATGATAGGGTGTTGGGTAGGTCAGAAAAGCCAGAGAATTCCTAATGCAACAGTTTTAATGGGCAGCCTACCAGATCTGGCCTCCCAGCACCATTGCATAGCTGAACATATTCCTTCTTCTTGACTCGATTGAGGTCCTCATGTAGCCCATCCAGGAGGAATGACAGCAGCTCCTGTGAGTCATGCTGCTGGTAGCCCAGAAATTGGGATGCGAAATGGCCAACCTTGTTCTGAGAAGATGGTGAGAGCAGCAGAGTGAGGCAGGAGTTAGGAGAAACAAGAGAAGTAGAGGATGGGGGTCCATGGGGTTACGACACACCTTGAACACATTTGGCACAATGGAGCGGTGGTAGCCAGACCATGCCTGCTTCACCAGATCTGCGTAGGCCTCAGCAAGCTCACCCTTCATGCCCAGGGGGTTCCGAAAGTTGAGCTCTTCCAGGTAGCGATTGTTGAGGAAGTACTCTGTGAGCTGTGGCACGTTGCTGAGGCACTGTGGGAGTAGGGCCCAGTGAAAGAGGCAGAGGAGAGGTGAGGTGGCCCAAGTGAGGTCAGAAAAAGAGGGAAGAGAGAATAGAAGAGAAAATGGGGAAGGACTTGTCATACGAATGAAGCAAAAGAGTCAGGAAAAGATGTCAGTATTTCTGGAGAAGGAAAACAGCAATGACCAAGGGAAGAAGGGAAAATAGGGAGCAAGCAGAGGGAGAAGGTGTTGATATGTCAGGAGCAAATGTGGGCATATCAAATCAGGTTTGTGGAGCCTTGGTTTTCAACCTGACCCCTTGTACTGTAGTTGTAGTCCCCCACCCCCGTCCCCTAGCTCTGTCCCCAATCCCCAACCCCTGTGGCTGTGCCAGATATAGCTCTAATGGCCCAACCTGCAGGGCCGAGTTCATGAAGCATGTGTTGCCCAGACTGGTAAGGCCACAGATGCCCGGCTGGCCCTGGAAGTCCTCATCCTCTTCCGACAAGTTGTTCCTGGGGTTGGATGAGAAATCCTATCAGCTGAGGGCCTACTACATGTGAGTGTTCTGTACTCGTAGATTCAGTCTGCCTACTGTGGGATGCCCTGACTCTGCATGACACCCCGAGGGCTCACATGCCACAAAGCTGTGCGCTGGGCCAAGTGCCATCTTTGTTTCGGGTCTCCATGATGACCAACTGGGTTGGAAGTGGAGAAAGGAGAAAGAAAAGTATTAATAAAAGGCCAAAAGAGCATCCAGCCCTTCCCTGGCCTAATCACTGCCAGGCCACCTGTGCAGGAAAGCCCTCCTCATTGTTACCTGCCCAGTCTCAAGAGAGGCATCAAGCAGTGTGATCTGTGTGTTGCACAATCGATCCAAAGAGCCTTCTGAGTTCTTGATCCAGAGGCGTGTGTCTTCCTGGGGCTCCACCATAAACTGCTCCCGAGCTGTACGCAAGACTAGGTCTGTGGAGGGTGATAGAGCATGATCAATATCTTCTGAGACCCCCAAATAACAAACGCATTTGATACCCTTACCTCATTCTCAGACTTTGCTTACTTAGCCAATACTTTGTGTGCCCAATCAATCTCCAAATGACTCACACTCAGAACTTGAGATGCCTCCCCCAAGTGAACACCCTCTGCCACCCTACCTAAGCAACTGGAATAAGCAACAGCTCATAGTCTCTGGTCTTCAGTACATAGACCCCACACCCCACACCCCCGCCAGTGCCTGTTCTCAGCTTGACCAACACCTTCTTGGCCCACAGTCTGACCGATGCCTTCTTGGGAGTCTATAGCCTAATCCCCACACATCTTCAGATCACTAAGTTGTGACTCATGATTAGGAACAGGAACTTGTCCCATGACTCTGAGACTCACCCAGAGAATCCATGTGGCTGAACTGAAGAGTGAGAGCTGTTTCCATATCACTGTGCTGGACAAGCAACAGCTCTATTGGGTATACTTCCACCTTTTGGATATTGGGCAGCTCTATGACCTGTGAAGGCAAAACAGACACAGGTATATCCACCCATCTGACAGGGACACACAACTATGGACCTACCCTGGGCCCACATGGCCTTCTTCCTCTCCAGCCCAGGAAATCTACACCCCAACCCTGTCCCACCCACATACCTTACGCTCAATAGGTGGCTGGCCATGCTCTAGGCCATACCACCTGACCAGGCAGTACCAAGCAGGTGCTGGAAGCAACACATAATCCTCTCCTTCTAGCAGTCCCTCCCTGAGGTTCCAGTTTATCTGATCTGCAAGGGTGTGTGTGTGGAGGAAACAGAGCAGGAATCAAGAAAAGAAGTGGCAACTCTGGTCACCCCACCAATGACCAAGCATAGAGAATGGGAGTATGATCATTTGCATAGACAGAATTGATGAGAACTCCAGGGAAAGGCAGAGGCTTGGTACCTGCAAAGAGCGTGGCATTGTTGATGCAGCCAGGAAAGGTGCTATCATCCTGGTCCCCTCCCTGCACGTATACCTCCCACTGTTTATACCAGTGCTGCTCCACAAGGAACCTGGAACCCAGATAGACAAGGGTGTCACATGGTTATTTGGGGGTTAGCTGTACAACCTCTTATCACTAGGAGAGTTAACTATCAATCCATTAAAATTCAAGAGGAAAAGTTTCAGCAGCATATGAAAATAAAAAGCAAATTTTATTCAGTGAAAACAACACATTTGGATATTATATTGTTTTTTGGTTCATACTGGCTTTTGTTTGTTTTTTTGAGATCCAGATGGCCTGGTACTTCCTATGTAGACAAAGCTGGCCTCAATCTCACAGAGATACACTTTGCCTCTACCTCCTGGGATTAAAGGTGTGTGCTACCACTCCCTTCTCTCTCTTTGAGATGAGGTAGGGTTGAAACCCAGATATACCTGGATCTTATTACAGGTACCCCAAGCAGGCCTCAAGCTCTCCTGGTTCTTCTTTAGCCTCCCAAGTGCTAGGATTAAAGGTGTGTACCTCCATGCTTAGTTCTGCTACGAATTTGGTGTTTGGTCTCTTTTGAGACAGGTTTTTACTCTGAACCCTGGGCTGGCCCAGAACTCACTATGTAGATCTGGCTGGCATTGAACTTGTGGCAATCCTCCAGTCTCAGCCTCCTACACATTAGGATTACAGACATAAATCATTATGCCTAGCTTTATATTTCTGTAGCGTATTTTTTTGCCAGGTTTGTTTGTTTTGTTCATTTTTTTGTTGTTGGTGGTGGTGATTTGGCGTGTTGATCCCCATAGACCCCGCTGTATCACTCATCCCTAGAAAAGACATCTTCCTGCCTAGGAGGCTCATGTCACAGATCTATCACTCAACATACGCTGCACCACATGTACACCTTCATTCCCCTTCCAGCTTTGCTAGTCTCTATAGTCAGTCTATGAGGTTCACTTATGCAGTAAAACTAATTTACAGTTAAGGGTACCTTCAATGCAATGGAAGACACTGTTCAATTTCCTAAAAGATTTGTTTTTTATTATGTGTATGTATGCCTTTTATGTCTGTGAGTAGGTATGTACACAAGAGTGCAGATACTCATGGAGCCCAAATCACTGGGAGCTAGATTTACAGGAGGCTGCGAGCCACCTGATATGGGTGTTGGAACTGAACTTGGGTCCTCTACAAGAGCAGTATGTACTCTTAACTGACCCATCTCTCCAGTCTAGAAGGATTAGGGTTAGGCTATATGTCCAGAAGGACTGGAGAGATGTAGCCTGAGCTCCAGAGTGAGACCCAGGATCATAAAACAGAAAAAAAAATGTAGACATCATACCAGGACAAATGACCTTAGAAGTTGTTACTGCCTTAGGACAGGATGGGCTCAAACCAGGGTCATTGATGACTGTTACCTGTTCAGAGAGAGTTAGCCACCATAACCTCCAACACGTGTTCTGGGGTACTGTATCACTGCCTAACTACCTGCATAGAACACACCTCACCCCCACTACCACCCCCTACGCTCAACTCCAACCCCACCTTGACTCAATGAAAGCTATCATTAATTATAATGCCTCTACAAGACAGTTTCTAGTCTTGTGAACTGCATTTGTACTGCAGTGTATCTAATAAACTCTACTTGTGTCTTTTTCTGTTCTGAATTCTTTACTCATATCACCAGCCTGTCACCACGATCTTGCAATTTAAAAAAATTAGCTATGGTGGTGTGCATGCCTTTAATCCTAGCACTTGGGAGGTAGAGGCAGGCAGCTCTAGTTTACATAGCGAGTTTCAGACCAGCTGGAGTTATAGTAAGACTGTGTCTCAACACCTCTCCCCAAAGTTACTTTACTTAGGTAATAAATATACCATTGCTCTATCAAATTATCCTGTGGCCAGTGTTCTAAAGAAAATTAAAATTCAGGTCTTTTATGTAAAAATTATAAAAAAATATTAATTTCAGTCAATTAGAAATTACTTCTCTGTCATTAAATTATTACTCTTTCTTGGTCCTTTCCTTTTTCTATAATGTCTCACAATATATCTTAATTCATCTTCTCTCTTTTTTTTGAGACAGGGTCTCATGTAGCCCAGGCCACCTTGAACTCACTGTGTAAGGATAACCTTAAGCTCCTAATAATCTTTATCATTATGTTCCTATAAAACTATGCTTCTTGTCTTTGCTTATAACTTTGTTTTTGAGACAGGGTTTCACTTTGTAGCTCAGGTTGGCCTAGACCTCACTATGTAGCCCTGGATGGCCCCTAACTCATGATTCGCCTGCCTCAGCCTCCCAAGTGCTAGGATTTCAAGTGTGTGCTACCATGCTCATTCTGTTTTCTAAATATTCTTCCCAAGCTGGACTTACACTTGTGGTAATTCTCCTGCCTCATACTCCTAAATGCTGAAATTAGGAATGAGCCACCATGCTCTTAAGTATTGTTGACCTGTCTTTCCAAAGTCAGGACAATAACACTATTAAAATATTCTTTCATGTCTAAATTATCTTTGAAATATAACACAGAAAGTTTCCTTTCTCCCATAAAAGGACAGTAGAAATAATCATATATAGCTAAAATCCTCCAACTTTTTTAAGAGAAGGTCTCACTGTGTAGCCTGGCTAGCCTGGAACTTGCTATATAGACCAGGTTGGTCTACAGAGATCCATCTGCCTCTGCGTCTCCACCTGACAAATCTTAACTTAAAAATTTTATAACAGCTTTCATTTTTTTAACTTTTTTTTAAAACAGGTTTTCATTAAGCCTATGCTGGCTTCAAATTCCTAATCCTCCTGCCTTTAGTGCTGGGAGGTGACACCATGCCCAGCTCCTCCAATTTAATATTTTTTAAATGATGTATCAAAAAAAAAGCACTTGATGCTGGCCACGGTGGCACATGCCTTTACTCCCAGCACTCAGGAGGCAAAGGCAGGTGGATCTCTGTGAGTTCAAGGCCAGCCTGGTCTCCATAGTGAGTTCCAGGCCAGCTGGGGTTACAGGGAGACCCTGTTTCAAAAAGACCAAAGGGACCAAAA